TCCAGCAATGCAGAGAGCCGCCTGGACTCAGCAACAGAAGATGTAACTTCATCCTCAGCCGCACAGGACAGGTGGAAGTTGGCGCCTAGCACCAGCTCTCTGTACAAAATCTCATTGGTTAACAGTTGGCTAATACATGCTTTCTCATCCACAATCCAGGAAAAAGTCCTTAATCAGACTAGAGAAGGATTTAGATGGATATGAAGCAGAGAAAAAACACTTGGAGGAAATGGCCAGTTCTCTTCCACAATTCAAAGATGGCAGAGAAAAAATTGTGAATGAACAGTGCCAAAGCACGGTGCTGCTGTGGGATAGCACAAAGACTGCTGTCACCGAGTGGTAAGGGGACAGAAGTCCTCCTGAACCTGAGACATGGTCTGGGCATAGTTAGGGTTTGGAGAAATTTATATTGCAAACATATCCTGGGGACCTAGTGCTCAGAGCCGGGGTCTGCAGCCCAGGGCGGGGGCATGTGTGGCCCAGACCACTCGTCCTCTCTGGGAGGAAGTGGTGTAGCCCGTGGCTGTGGGGGCATCAGCCCCTCTGGGGCTTCTCTTAGCTCTACCGCTCCTCAGTAGGCCTCTGCGGGATCCTGTCCGTGTCCCTCCTGTGCGCCCCTGTACCCCTCCTTGGACAGAAATTGGTGCAGTGTGCTGGGTGTCTGGTACCCTCTGCTAACCAGCACAGAAGAAGCGTGAGGGTGAGAGTCCAAAGCATTTTCTCCTGAGTCACTGACTGAATAGTGCTTGGACACACTAGAAGCCAGGCTGCTCACTGCTGCCGCCTCTGCACTGTTTTATTGTCCTGAAGGGGCTGAACTGACAGTGAGTAGAACAGGCATTGCCGTAAGCAGCCTGTCCCCCACTGATGAGCTCGACGGAAGTGCCCAGAATAATGCCAGGGAGCCTGTTTTCCAAATGTCTTTTACTTAGTGGTAGAATTGAGAATCTGCTGAGTAGGGTTACCAGTGCTGTTTCCCTCTAGAGCTTACATCTGTCAACTTTTCGGTATTGATCAGTGGCAGTACCACCCCGGGGATTATGAAAACTATCTATTTATTATCCTTCTTAGGTTATCTGGATGTCACAGTATTGTAAGTCACATTGAGAGGAAAAGTCCTTTTTTAACTTGTTAATCATTATTGTTTTTTTTTTTTTTTTTTTGGTGGTACTAGGGATTGAACTCAGGACCTTGCACTTGCCAGGCAGGGCTTATGCCACTGAGCTATCTCCCCGACCCTAGTTAGACTTACACAGAGAACGGATGGTTTTATTTTCAGCTGTTGAGCTATTCTACCTTTTCTTTCTTCTTCCTAGCCTTGAACAGTGTGGAAGAGTTCTGGAGCTCTTGAAGCAGTATCAGAATTTTAAAAGTGTGTTGACGACTTTGATTCAAAAAGAAGAGACTGTCATTTCCCAGCAGGCTTCCTACATGGGCAAGGAGAACCTGAGGAAGCGGATGGCTGAGGTGAGTCTGCACCCCGCGAGGAATTCTGCACTGCGACCTCGAATAGGGGCCCAACTTGAGGAGGATCTTGGCAGCAGAAGTGCATTCAGTTGTTTCGTTTTGTTCTGATTGTTTTGTTTTTGAGACAGAGTGTTGTATAGCCCAGGCTGGCCGTGGACTCTTATTTACAGCCGAAACTTTCGGTCTGAGTGCTGGAATTATAGGACAGCACCAGCTAAATGAAGTTGTATTTAACATCTGAATGAAGAGAAGTTAGTGCTGACTGACTCTTACTGGGTGTCTAGGAGTATAACGAGTTTAACACTAGAACTTGGAAAACATCGCCCCACCTCACTAGTGGGTAGCTTCTGCTTGGAGTTGGTTCTGGGGCCACAGTTCCACCCGAGCCTGGCCTGGCCCTCAGTGGCTCCCTCTGTGACATGTGACAGCCTTTCCGCCACCTTCTGCTTAAGAGAACTGAGACTGCCCTGTCTCTTCCCTGTGGGGTTCAAAGAATGAAGACAGCAGGAAAATCCCCTCTGGTGCTAACGGGCACAGGATAAGTTAGGTTCTACCCGCCTGCTTCTGTGAAGGCGTTTGGGCCTTCTCTTTGTGCCGCTCCCTCTCTGTTCACAGCATACCTCCATATTCTATGAAGAGTAACATTTTTGAACACTAGATGTCATTATTTTCTATGTTTTTAAGAACTGTAGTCATCAGCTACAGTGACAGAAGGATGGAAGAGTTTGTCAAAACAAAACAAAAAACCAAAACAACACAACCCCTACCCTACACTGCAGGACCGCACATCACAAATGTGCCTTTCCTGTGTTAAGAGGTCAGGCTGGAGTGCTGCGGGGTGTCCCAGGTGTGTGGGCACTGCGGCCCGCTGGATAATTGGATGTAGAAAGCAATTGTTAAACTTCCTAGTCACTCAGTAGAAGGGCGCTGGCTCCAGTGACATCCAGAGTATCAGGAATGGCTCTTGTCTGGGACCCACTTTCTGGGCGTCTGTTTCACTCAGCTGACCAGTCTGAAGAGCCCCTTTTGGGCATCCATTGTGCAGGTGGAGACCGTGTATCTAGTCACCCATCAAACTGAATTGAAAGGGTCACAGGATCCTGAGCAGACAGCCAGCGGGGTTGCTCAGATGCAGCCTGTTTCCGTCCAGTGAGGTAGTTTCTGGGGTTTGTTGGCCTTGGGAAGTAGGAAGGTCCTATCTTTGTTTATTGGATTCAGGGAGTTCTGGTTTCCTAGATTCTCAGAGAACCCAGCGTCTTCAGCCGTTGACAGGCAATGTGCCGAAGAACCTGGGTTCCGAGCCTGGGGTTTAGTCAGTGTGCTGTGAGTGTTGGCCTCACAGTGCTGATCTGCGGCTCTGCTTACGTGTCCTGGCCGCCGAGCCACAGGGCCCCTCAGGACAGTCTACTCTTGCTGCCCTGTGGCTGTCAGGACAGGTGGCCCTGTCCTCGGCGAAGCCTCTCCAGAAAGCCAGCCTTTCATTTTCTACCAGAGGCTAGGGAGTCTAAAGTGCTGCCCTTAGAAAATGATAGCCCATTTTCTTCTTCATGGTGATGTGCGCTTTCCCACGTGCCTCAAGGAAATTTCCAGAGTATTTTAAAAATTGCATGGCATAAATGGGCTTTTTACTGGCTTCTCCGCTTGCTGTCTTCATCCTAAGCCCCCCTCTTTCTTGGCTGAGATTTTGGCTTTTTCTGGTGTGTTAAGCCAGGTAGCACCCTTCTTCAGCTTGTGGGGTTCCACCTTCTCATCCCATTCAGAGTGTCCTTGGTCTTGTGGGTTCATACCATTCAGTTCTCTCCTGACACTGCAGTGGCATTTGGGGAGAGAACAGACAAGTGCATATTTTACCCACCATGTTTTTGAAGACCAGGTGGTGTTTTTTAATGCATTAGTGGAAAACAGAAAACAAAAATTAAAAACCCTTCCCACTAGTGTTTTATAATGATAACTGCAGAGTATTTGTGTGTATATACAGATTTAAATCCTAGATTATTCCTTTAAGATTATAAACATTTTTTACATAGAACAGTTTCTCTTCTAGTGAAAGAATTTTATATAAAACAATTTGTTAGTCATAACTTTTAATCCACAGATTTTATAAAAGGGAGAGATACCTTTAATAACATTCCCGAGGGCTGGGGAGATAGCTCAATGGTCTAAGTGCCTGCCTGGCAAGCGTAAGGACCCGGGTTCGATCCACGGTACTGCATGCCATGCTGGCAGAGAGCCCTGGGCCTGTTGTACCAGGCATGGAGATGACGCACGCCTGTGGTCCCAGCGTTGGGGAGGCTGAGGCAGGATCATTACAAGTCTGAGCTGTGTAGCGAGACCCGGTACCGAGTCAACAACGTTCCTTTGTGAGGAAGTGAGTGCGGTGCTAGGTGACTGATCGTAGCCAGACTGGTGAGCCACAGGCATCCTCATCCAGCATCCCAGTGGGGGCAGAACCGGCGTCCCGCAGCACAGGCCCTGCGCTTCCTTCAGTCTTCAAGTCTATCAATTATAAGATGCACCACAACTTTTGATGTAAAACATAAGACCTAACGCCTGTATCATGTTATTCATTGTAAGACCTGCATATGACAGATCTGCAGCTCCCTTAAGCACAGGCCCCCACACCAGTGTCACCCCTTAACCCTTAACAACCCTCTCTCAATAAATCATTTATCCAGGAAATTAAATATGCATTTTCAGAATAGTTTCTTATACACATACATACATACATACATATATACAGTGTACTGGTTGATATATTCTGTTACCTTGAGAAGTTTAGAAGTTTAACTCAGCGACTCAGCACAGAGCCAGGGTTCTTAGTTTGTAAACATCCTCATCCTGTGCAAGAGGAAGGCATGGACATTGTGTGAGTTCTACACCCCCAGCCCAGGGTAGCTTGTTCATAGTGTAAGGAGGGGAGAGGGGCTGGCTTGAAGCCGCAGCTGCTGCCCTTCCCTTTGCTCTTTGCTGCTTTCTGCTGCCATGAACTGCTGCTCTCTGCCATGTGCCACTCTGCCTGGGAGCCAGCAAGTATAGACTGAAACTGCCACAAACTGTGAGCTAAATAAACCTTTCCTTCCTTCATTTTGGGTGTCGGGTATTTTGTCCCAGCAACAAATAAAAAGTAACTGAAACAGAATGATGTAGTCTCAACATTATAATCTCTAGTTCTTATAAGATGACTACTAAATTAACTCTTTAATATTCTGAGTTCTTTATCATTTTATTCAGTAGGTAGATTTAAAAAAAAACTTTTTTTTTATATTTAGTACAAGGTCTACAGGGTCTCACTACGTAGATCAGATCGGACTCACAGTAATTCTTCTGTTTTCAGCCTCCCAAGCACTGGAATTACAGGCGTGCACAACCACACCCAGTCTCAGTCGCCATCTCAGTGTGCCCCCGGGGGTGGGGTCGGCAGGGCAGGCCTGGGATGGATCCCCGTCCCTGTGTCTGCCTAAGCAGGCGCTTTAATCTGCTGAGCTATCTGGCCGGCCCTCAGTAGGTAGATTTAGATATAAACCCAATGTGACTATTACAAACTACAGAATGAATATAGATTTACTTAAAAATATAGAAGCTGTCATTGAAATATTTGCTCACCTTTCATTTATCATTATTTTGAGCAAGAAGTAACAGCTTACTTCATTCTTTGCCACTGACCAAGAACTGCTTGTGTCCAAGGCTTCATCTAGAATCTTGGCTTTTGGCTCTGAGCTTTGAACCCAGGCCTTCTCGCATGCTAGTTGTGGGCTCTGCCACAAAGCTACACTGCTTGAATGCCGTGGAGACTGCGGCTTCTTTCTTCAGCATTCATTTTTTTGTTTGTTTTTGGTACTGGGAATCGAACTCATGGCCTTATACTTGCCAGGCAGGCTCTGTGCCACTGAACTAAATCCTTAGCTCCAGCATTAGTTGTAACTATGAATAAGTTAAAGAATGGGGGCTTTTAAGAAATTATTCCTATGTTGGGGCTGGTGAGATGGCTCAGTGGTCTAAAGCACCTACTTAGAACAAGCTTAGCAAAGCACAGGGATCGCGGTTCAATCCCCCAGCACCACATGCCAGCCAGCCCCGCCCCCTGGTGGACTGAGCTGGCCACACACACACACACACACACACACAAATAAATAAATAAATAAAATAAATAAATTTAAAAAAAAAATATTCCTATGTATAGAATTGATATTCATATAATATCTAGTAAGAATAGCTCATTCAACTCTGTCCAACATACAGAAATTACTGTAATAAATTGTTAATATTTTAGTATTTTCTATACTATAGAGTAGAAAAATATTTTTACTCACTGTAGTAGCACAAGGTTTGCAGTAACTAGAAAATTCAAAAGAAAGTGTGAGAAAAACCATTGTGATTCTTATGGGAAGTAGAAAATATACTGAGAATTGTCAATTAAAAAAAAAAGACAGATATAGTTGAACCTCCTCAGTAATCAGAGCACCCCAAAGCACCCCCAAGTTTTTTTTTATTTTGTTCTTGTCTTTTTGAGACAGGGTTTCACTGCTGATCTCAAACTCACAGCTTGTTGCTGTCACAGGAGGCAGGCGGAGCAGGTGTGCAATCCTGTGGTTGGCTCCCTCCCTGGCACTGAAAAGAAAGAGGAAAGAAAGAAGGAAGGAATGCAGGCAGGCAGGCAGGCAGGCAACCTTTACAAAATTATTTAAGAACTTCGACAATCTGTTGGACCAAATATTTCACTTCTAGAAATTGATCCTAGGTGTATACCGTTGAATATGAAAATATTTTAATACTGAAAGATATTCACTGTACCCCCTTCCAAATGTGTTGGTTTCCATTTTTCTCACTCTTCTAACTCACCTTGTCCCATCATCTCCAATGAATGATGTCCCTTGAAGCCAAAGAAATGAGAAGCCATAAAAACAGAATCCAAATAGCATTATCATGTGGGCTTGAGGCTGCACAAGGACTACTTCTGTACCTGGTATTGCTACTTAGAAAGACCACGGCTCATGGTGGCTCGTAGCGTGGAGGGCTTGGTCCTGGTAGGCCGTGTCCTTGGCATTCATACACCACAAAGGGGTGGTGAGCATGAGCGCCAGTCTCAAGGAGCGCTTGCTCACCTCACCTTTTAAACAGTAAGGACTATTTTATTTTTTGGACTGGGCTGGCCTTGAACTTATGGTGATCCTCCTGCCTCAGCCTCCTGCGTGCTGGAATTAGAGGTGTGTACCCAGCCAGGACTTTTAAACGGTAAAAGACTATAACCACATGTTGAATCTATTTTAAGAATAACAGCCTACTTACTCATAGATGTGGTCCAGTTTGTATTTTGGAATTTGAATAATTCCTTCTGGAGGAAGAAGAAAGTGAGGGAGAGGCGTTCAGCTCCTTTTCCACAAGATTTCATGGCTAATATCAGGCAGAATCTTTATTATTACCCAGAAAGGTCTGATCACAGTTTTACACTTCAGACACTCCCAAGAGCAATGTTCTTGGAAACTATTTCGAACACAAATATAGCAGAATAGAAAAAATCATTTAACTTTGCCTGAACTCTTGACCCATTGTAGAGGCTCCGTTGTGAGCCATATATTCAGAAATAGAAAGGGCTGGGCGGGGCAGATAGCTCAGCAGTCTAAGCACCTGCCTGGCCAGTGCAAGGACCCGGGTTTAATCCCTGGTATGGCGTGCCGCGCCTGCCCTGCCCCCTGGGTGTGCTGAGCAGGCCACCGAAACTGGGCATGGTGGTACACGCTTGTAATCCCAGCACTGGGGAAGCTGAGACAGGAGGATCACTATGAGTCCAAGATTCGTAGCAAGACTCTGTACCAGATAAATAAATCTTAAAAAAAAAAAAAAAAAGGCTGGTGTTACAGCTCAGTGGTAGAGTGCTTGTGTAGTATGCAGAGACCGTGAGTTAGATCCCCAGCAGCACAAAAAATAAGCAATAAAAATTAATAAAGCAGCTATAATTACTGAACAAAATAACCTTTAAGAAATGTGTAACACTCCAGGATTTTCATACTTCATTCACAATTCTGGTGTCTAACATATTGGCACCTGATGTATTTGCTGAAATAATACCATTTTGTATGAAAGATACAGGACACGAGTATAATTCTTTTTGCAGTTTAAAAAAAAATCTAAACAAAAAAGTAAAAAACACTAAATAGAGTTTCAAATCAGGCTAGTAGGGTAAAAATAATACATTGCACGTCATATTCAGACTAGTTGTTCGGAATACAAGATACAGGCAAACACTGATTAGAAGAAGATTAGCGCAAAGCTTTCTTTTCAATGAACTGAGAGAAACTAGCTGTGTAATTACAGTAACTATCTTGTGTATGTATATGTTTTTTTCTTTCCCCTTACTTCCTGTCCCCCTTTCTCAACCATGACAGTTTCTCTTTTGAATAGTCTCTTCCCTCTTCACAGTATCTGTTGTACCTTTCAGATCTTGTTTCCTCTTTCGTTTCCTCCAATAATGAGACAGTATGATGTTTACACATGTAGGTGCCTATAAAAGTGTCAAGTTTATCTTTCTGTATCTTTTTTATCTATTCCTTGGTTGATGAGCATTTGGGTTGTTTCCAAGACTTAGCTATTACAGATAGTGCTGTTGTAAATGTGGGTATCACTGAGAATGATGTTTTTAGTTCTTTTTTTTTTTTTTTTTTTAATATTAGAAGCATTTGAAATATTTCACGGAGGGTTTGTTTTTTTTTTTTAATGTATTTAGTACAGAGACTCACTTTGTAGGCTGGACTCATAGCGATCCTCCTGTTTTCAGCCTCCCAAGTGCTGGGATTATAGGTACGCACCACCACACCCAGTCTTATGTTTTTAATTCTTCTGGACAGATACCCAGAAGGAGACTAGCTGGGTCAATTGGGACCTCTAATTCTAGTTTTTTCAGGAATCTCTGCATTGATTTCCCACAGTGGTTGCACCAGTCTACACTCCCACCAACAGCAGAGAAGAGTCCTTTTTCCCCACAGACCTTAGGATCTATGCAACAGAACAGAAGGCACAATTCCAAACACACTCGGCCACCTTATCTTTGACGAAGGGGCCAGACATGTTCACTGGAAGAGAGATAGCTTCTTCAATAACTGGTGCTGGAAAATCTGGCTTTCCACATGCCGAGGACCAAGACTAGACCTGTGCCTATAACCGTGCACCAAATCAAAATGGATCAAAGATCTAAATGTTAAAACAGAAATGCTAAATATGCTGGAAGAGAAAATAGGTGGAAATCTTGAAGATGTAGGTATAGGCAGAGGCTTAATGAACAAAACTCAGACTGCAAGGAAAATACTACGAAGAATAAACAAATAGGATCTCACCTTATTAAAAAACTTCTGCACAATCAAAGAAATCACCAACAAAGCGAAAATATAATCACACAATTGGAAAAAATATAGCCAGCTGTGTCTCAAAGGACTAAAACATAAAGAATTGAAAAAAATCAGAGTCCCCCTTATTTAAAGACCCCATCTAAAAATGGACACCTGAGATGCATACATACTTCACAGATAAAGAAATGCAAATGGCAGATAAATATATTAAAAAAAGTCCAACCTCATTGGTCTCCCTATAGGGGACTCAGGTCAACAATTTCTGGCATTGCCAGTGAAGCGGAAGACCCAGTACTATTATGGGCTGCTGGACTCTTTCAGAATATTTTGCTGAGTTTACACACCTATAATACTCAAATAACGGAACTTAACAAAAAAAGGGGATACAGATGAATGTCCATTTTGTATCTGTGTTCAGAGTGGTTGGAATAGATACATAGTTACGTTCTCTTAATGAATAGAATGATTTGTTCTAATGGTGTTTGTAAATAGGACATCATGTCCGCATCTTGTACAGCAATTAACCACTAGCAAGAATGTATGCAATGTGTGAATTATTGAAACTGTCCCACCAGTTTGATTTGAAACTGTCTCATTGCTATTTGTTTATCAATAAAATTATGGGGAAAAAAAAAAAAGAATTCAATCCCTGAATTCAATCCCTGGTTCCTCAAAATAAATAAATAAATAAATAAAAAATCAATAACAAAAGTTTTTTTTTTTTAAACTATCTTTGCAATGCTGGACATGGTGACACATTCCTGTCATTCCAGCGCTCAAGAGGCTGAGGCAGGAGGATCACTGAGTTCAAGCCAGCCTGGGCTACATAGTGAGACTCTGTCCCAACAAAACAAGAAACGAACAACTCCAAACACCCGTCTTTGGAAAGCAAATCTCAGTACTGATCGTTCACACAGCCGTGGGTACTTGGGTGCCGTCCTGGGCAGTCTTCAGGAGCAGTCAGTGGCCGCATCTTCTGGATGCTTGTACCAGCATCTGGATACATGATCTCACTGAGAACTTCTGTCCTTCAAAGCCGTGGAAACCTGATGCTTATCTGGGCTATGGTGCCGGATTCCCATTCTTTTTCAATGAAAGACAGAAGTGCGAAAGAAAGAGCAGACGCTGGCACGCCAGGGCACTGCAGACGTGTGGGAAGCGTCAGGCCCGGCCTAGTGCTCTTCACTGTGCTCCTCCATTCGTTTCTGTCCCTGCGGAAAGCACCCTCTCCTTCCCTTTCTTTTGTTCAGCTCGGGGTAACTCGTGCTGGTGCTGGCGTCACAGGAAGTTCTGTGCGCGTACGTACAGATACTTATGATTCCATCAGAGTCCTGGGCCAAGCGCAGGAGGCCCTGGGTTTGGATCTCCGTTCTGCTAGGGTATCAGTCTGTGTCCAGTCAGGAGAAAGAAACCCTCCTACTTATTGGTTTACTTTTTTAAAGATTTTACCTATATGGGATTGCTAAATCTTGTCACATCGCAGATATCAAGATGGGCACAATCCTGCATGTCACCATAGGGTCACCTTCGCTGTCATTTTAGAGCCCTGTCCACACTGCTCCTGCCCCCCACCCTCACCCCAAGACCTTGACAGCATCCGGTCTGTTATTTCACTAAATCCCAGTGAAACTATCTGGAACCATAGATTTATCTTCTTAGGAATTGTTATGTTATGCATTTGGACAGACTTTTTTTTTTATCACCGTTTCCTATACTGTATAATAAATACTTGTAGCATTTACATCATTTTAGGCATAAGTAGCCTAGAGACGTTTCAGAATGTGTAGCAGGTAAGCGTAGAGAACTTAAAAGAGCGTGCCACTGTACATGGGCTCCCTGAGCCTCTGTGGATCTTGCTGTCCCCTGGGCTGTGCGGATCAGTTCCCTGCGGATCCCAACCAAGAGAAAGCAGTCTGTTTAGTTTTCAAGTGACTGGAGATTTCTATTTGAGAAAGCAGCATTTCAGCAGCCCAAGTTAGAAGCTGGTTGGAAGTCATGAAAGATGTCGAGAACGCTGTTTATGTGTATTTTTTTTGAACTCTATTTATTGTATTTCAATAAATGCTTAAATATGATTCTTAATGAGAAATGTAGGAGCTGTTTTTGTGTAGTTTAGCTGGTACGCTTTCTTGGTAGACTTTATTTTATATTTCCAGAATTATTTTTTTAAACCATTCTAAAGTGAGCAAAGTTTGTGTGTCAGATTATCATAAAGCAGCATTTAGGATTCCAAAAGCTGCTTGAGTTCGATTCCCAGCACCGAACAAACAAGCCCAGTGTAATAAGGTATTACTTTTTGTTGTAATGTTGTTTTTAAGCTGAATAACTGAAAATAGAACTGTAATTCTTACCAGTTGGTGTCAACTTATAAATAATGTTTTCATTATCTTTTATACAGATTGAAATCGTCAAAGAAGAATTCAGTGAGCATTTAGAAGTAGTAGATAAGATAAACCAGATCTGCAAAAATCTACAGTTTCATCTCAATAAAATGAAAACTTTTGAAGAACCCCCCTTTGAAAAAGAGGCTAATGTTATTGTGGATAGATGGCTTGATGTACGTGATAATTTAATTGACTACAGATTTTATTTTATAACAGATTATATTTTATATTTTACTACAGATTATATTTTAAATTGATCTTTTAGGAGTATATCTTTAATATTCTTACCTAATTAAAATTTAAACTATATTTATTATAAAGGTGCCATATAATATAGTGTTTATGACTTAGAAATTAATTTGACCCTAGAGTAACTACTAAAGAATGGTTCTGTACTCTTCCAGCTATAAAAATATATGCTCCTTATTTAAAAGTTAATATATTATTTATGCAGGATATCAGAGTTCAGTTATATACTTAATACATATATACTTAATGCATCATTGCTTAAATAGTGACGATACTTTTTTATTTTTTTTTGTGGAACCAGGGATTGAAAAGACTTAGATCTCTCTCTCTCTCTCTCTCTCTCTCTCTCTCTCTCTCTCTCTCTCTCTCTCAACGGTACTGGGGATTGAACTCAGGACCCTGTGCTTGCCAGGCAAGCACTTTTTCTACTGAGCTATCTCCCCAGCCCCGATACTTTTATAAATTACAGATTAATAAGAATTTATCTGTAGTACATTTTCATCTAGGTTTTTATTTTTTGGGTTTTTTTAGGTTTTTTTCATGTCAGTTTTTACAAAGCATCTTTTTTCACGTTAGGATTTAAGTATTAGGATGACGGTTGCTTTTGGCGGCATACAGCCTATAGCAAATCAGCTAAAGGTTTTTTTTTTTTTTTTTTTAACAGAAAGAGCTGCATGATATATTAAAACGACTATTTTATCGGTAAACAAAGCAAATTAGTCAGCCAGACATGTTAAGTTGAAATTTTATTTTAAAACAAGCGCTTGAATGGAACAGGTGTTTCCGTAGTTGTCACCACTGTGTGCATCACTTCTGTTTTTAATTGTGACAGATAAATGAAAAGACAGAAGAATACTATGAAAATCTTGGTCGAGCTCTGGGTTTGTGGGACAAGCTTTTTAACTTAAAAAATTTCATTGATGAATGGACTGAGGAGACCCTTCAGAAGCTGGGCTCACATCCCCTGACGGAAGAGGACAGGGAGCAGCTGAAGGTGGGTCGGCAGAGTTCAGAAAGGTGCTCAGTTCTTACGTGGTTCGTATTTTAATCCTGAGTTTGCTTTCTTGGAGCAGGGAGAAAAAAACCCACAAACACACAGTATTTTGTTCTTTAACCCCTGAGAAGACCTCAAACTATATCCATCCCTTTGTGGTATCTAGGAAGGTGTTAGTAGATACTGTTAACCTAGGGCTGGGCGGGGTTCACTGATTAAAGATGACCTTAGACAAGAAAAGATTACATCTTTATTTTCACACATGCCTAATTAAAATGTAGCATATGCTTCATTTATAGTAAGGCAAGATGCCTAACTTTGCTTTCAAGAAAAATCACAGGTATTTTGGGGATATGACTCAGTTGTTAAAACTGTTGCCCTTAGCACTGCTTGGAAAGTATAGGACTTAATAGGCCTGTTACTAGATCATGCGCGTTAAGACATTAGTAGAGAAATAAAGTGATATATATGACAGGGGTTTTTTTTTAAACTTTTTATTAATT